TGGGAATTGTAAAGCAAATCGCTACAGTGACATCTAGTAAAGCAGCCGAAAGTTAAAAAGCCCAAAAATGACGCAGTGCACATGCTTGGAAATGAACTTTTGCAATTGAGCCAAATCCTACAACATGAAGACCTGTCTTCTGATGTGGAAACTACTATGTGAGAGTAAAATTTGACTGTTTCTCCTATTTTTTACAAATATCGTTGGTTTTCAAACCTATCATAGATTGTTTTTCATTATATCAAGAAAGTATTTGATGCTTTTGGTTTTCCAGTAATTACGTCTTTCCTGTGTCAGTGAAAGTAAATTAGCAAGAAACCTAGTAATCACTGTTTGGGTGCCTCTTATTTAAAGGTGAAATTTGGTGGGCTATGGTGTACTCTCCCCAGGACTCTGGATCCACGACCACTGTAATACAGGTCACTGCAGCGATTTGCTTAAAGTCCCTATTATTTTATCCTTCTACTTTAAATTTTCTAGGGCACCCTGGCAAACACCTATGAATATATTCACAGGTGACATAAAGGTGCATATCAAAATTAATAATGTACCACTCCAAAAAGAAAAAAATTGAAACAATATACTTGCAGCTAGTAATAACTGATTCTATAAAAGACAAAAGATTTAAAAGTTAAAACAAGATTTAAGTCTTATAGTATGATTACTGAAATAAAATGCCCTTCAAAAAGGAAATCTTCATCTTAATGATTAATGATTTTTGTCCATTAAATAATTTAATGGGCAAAAATCATTGCTTATAACCTTGTGGACAAAAATCACATCCAAACTTTATAGACTAATTATTAGTATATCTCCGAATATTTAGTAACGCTAGATAAGGCTAAGTATACCCTAAGGAATTATGCATATGCAGGAGAATATTATCACACACACCACGATCTGCATAAAGTTAAACCTAATGTTATCATGCAGTTCCAATATTATAGGGGGGAAGTACTCCCATATATAAGCCATATAGTATAAAAATGGGTATAGACTTTGCCTATGTTGGTCTGTAACGGGCCGTTGACATATTCACTTTCCCTGCTTAACGTCAACTGGACGTTTAGGGGGGAGGGGATAAGGCAGTGGACATAATCAGTCGATCAATCTACAGGACTTTGCACTGGGTAAGTTTTGTTTGTTTGTTTGTTTGTTCATTTGGTTACATAAACTGACAGAATGGTTGGAAAATTACTAAATTGGCTTTGAAAGAGCATATTTTTGTAGGTAATCTATTACTTGAATAGACAAAAAAGTTTTATGTCTCTGTAAAAAGGCACCTCAGTCATAATAGACCATTTTACAGTTTGTTAGTATCCTAGCCTTCGAGTGAACAAGAGGATTAAGTTAACCTCGTTTTGTTACAAACCTCTCTACTTTTCTTATGGATATTATCCTTACAAAATACTACTAGTTAGCATAAGAACAAAATGACTTACATAATAAAGCAGGAAGGGTTGTATCAAAACAAGGTCAACGCCAACCTCGTTTTCACCTGTAACTGTAAAATGGGCTATTTTATTTAGTGACTAGTGAAAACTTACAGTATCACTCATCAACCTGAGCTGAATACACTCAAGTGATGCAACTATACTTGTAAGAAATGACAAAGTATCCAACAAAATAATTATTGCTGACAAGAATGTGCCAAGACCAGTATGGACAAGCCAGTGCAAACTAGCAAATTTTCCCGAAACTTGGTGACCGCAATTTGAATGGGCTCTTCTCCTGTATCAAAAGAATCCAGAAAATCCCCACTTTGGTTGTAAACAAGCACCCCGGAATTTGAAGTATCACTTACCAGAAGATGTCTATTATTACGGTCAGCAGTTATGCCAGATGGCATTCCTAACTCATAGTCACCAAGAGTATCAACTAAAGAACCACTTTTGTCAAATACTAGCACTTCCTCTCGTTCAGAATCTGCTACATAAAATTTACCATTCAAAAACACTGCCCTTTTTGGTGAGACCAGTTCATCTTCACCAAATGACAAGGTGAGGTTTCCAGATGAAGAGTAAACAAGAATGCATGGCGAGGTTTCACCTTGATACTCGTGACTATAGTATGGCCTAGAGGAAATGATGTACCGTCCATGAACATCAACTGTCAATGATGTGTATTTTACATTTTCTTTAGAAGCAGACATGACTTTCTTGTGGAAATTCCCAAAATAGTCATAATGTAAGAGGCGGTTTCTTTCACGATTTAGAACAACTATTTCATCTTCACTTGAAAATGCAATGTCAAAGAGGTCACCATATTTCACGCGAAAACTGTTCAGGATTGCCCCATCCTCGTTAAATACGTGTACATGCTTATTTTCTCTATCCAAAACTGCAAAGTCTCCAGAATGTCTGGAAGCTGCTACTGAAAAAGGCTCAAAATCTTCTTTCCCACATGAAAAACTGTCTATACGTTGAATTAAGGAGCCAGAACTTGGACATTCTTCAACTCCTGATACTACAGCTGGTATTGGCTTGACTTCAGTAACTGC